GGATGGGTGACAGTAAGAATATATTGTACCTTCATTTTAACATTACACATGCACACATTTTAATAGGCTCGTACATCATCTAGGATATTCCTGAAGCAGCGTATGAACAAAAATAAATAGACAAATGCGAAAACAAATACCAAGAATACCGAATGCAGGCAGAAGTGACGTAACTTTTGCTTTTCATTAGTAGCGTGGCAACGTCCCAAACCACGCCGTTTGCCCGGCCCGTCCCCTAGTTGGACGCGGCCTGCGGCAGCTGCACGTCCTGCCGCATGGCCTGCTCAACGTCGTCTCGGTCGGGCATCACGGTGTCATCTGACTTGGCGTCGTCGTCGTCGTCATCGTAATACTCCTGGTCCTCGACGTCGTCGTCGTCCTCGTAATTGTAGATGCCATCCTCGTTTTCGTCGTACTCGAAGCCAAAATCGACGTCCGTGGACGTACTGGCCGTGGCCGTGGCCGCGTTGGCCGCTGTCCCCGCCGGCCGTACGACGACAATATCGTCAGACGAGCTTGTCGTCAGCGCCACCGACGGCGACGACGACGACAAAGACGCCACCGACGAGCTGCTCGGCGTCGCCAGACTGGCGGAGGCGCTCGTGCCGGGTAGGGTCGAGTAGCCGTCCTGGACGGCGCGGCTGATGTTGCTGGGCAGCGAGGAGCTGTTCACCGATGCCGCGCTCGGTAGGGAGTACGTGGCAGAGGTGGCTGAGGCAGTGGCAGTGGCGGCAGCGGCGGCAGCTTGGGCGGGCGTCAGGTTGAGTCCGTCAAAGTTGCGGACCATGATGAAGCTGCTGGACACGCTCTGGGCATCATCGTCCTCGTGGTTGCCGCCGTCACCAGCTCCACGCGCCGTAACTGCGTCGCTCATCGCCGCATCTCCATACCGCTCCGTATTTCCGGCGTCGCTGATGGAAGGTGGGCCGGCCATGCTCAGCGTGTCGTCGATGCTCGGTGTGCTCATGCTCGTTTCGGTCGTGCCGGTGTGGTACTCTGGTCCGGGCGAGATGGGTCCGAGATGGGCCGTGGGGAGAGCTGGCTCAAAGACGGCGCCTGTCCCGTCGTTGTCGCCGCCTGCCCACAAGGGAAGAAACCGGAACTCCTCGTTGGACAGGCCCAGCAACAGATGCGGCGAGGCGCGAACCAGCTCCAGCTCAAATTCGGGGAAAAAACAATCGCGGTCGTAAATCTTCTTGTACAGGCGGGACGCGTGGTTGTAGAGGGCATAGCGAAAATCGACAGCCGTAAATGCATCCAGCTCGCCCATTGACTGGATGGAGTACAGAGTCACATCTTGTCCGATCATGGGCTTTAGATGATCCAGCAGGTCTAAGCGCAGCTTGTCACGAATGTCCCCGGTGCCGATGGGAACGCCATAGATCAGGGACTTGAAGAGGGCGGCGTTGACGGCGGCGACGAGATCCATAAAGTGGGTGCGATCAAACTGCTTCGACAGCTTATCCTCCACAGACCGGCCGAGCAGGCGCCAGTACACGGCCGTCATGGCTTTCTTGTCGTCGGGCAGGTCGTTGTAGATGTGGACAAACCAGTTCTTGTGCAGCACATTCTGGCGCACGTAGAAGCTGAGGCTCTTTTGGACCTCCTCGGTATACGTATTGTTCAACAAGTCGGAGTCGGCCAGACTGCGGGGGAAGCAGACGCGGACAATGTGGGTAAGGTGGTCCAGGAGCCGGCGAACGGCGGCCAGCGCATTCGCGATGGGATAGTCATGGGGCCCAAGGAGATGACGCGTGTCGACCTGGGCAATGCTTTCCTCGACCTTGACAAACTTGGTGAGAACGTCGGCGATCTGTTGTAGCTTGCGAATGGGTCCACTGTATGTCCGGAACATGGTCGTCAGCGATTCGTACTCGTACTTGTGCACAACATCAGGGGTCACGATGGAGGTCCCCGTCGCTGTCAGGTCCTCTGAGGCGGAAAACTCTTGGATGCGAGACTTGGTCTCGGCAACCTCTGTGTCCCGGTTTTGCAAGATGCGCTGGACAAAGGCCTCGCTGGAGTGGTCGATCATGGTCTCCATGTCCTCGTCGAGCAGGCCCGACAGCTCGCGACCAAAGACAGACTTTTGACGGCTCTGGTACTTGCGCGGCTGAGCGTCGGTGGTGCCGGCCTCTTGCAGGGCGCGCTCAGCGACAAGGATGCGATACGCAACACGGGCAACGACAGGCAGTTTGATGTTCCATGCAATAATAAAGCACTCCTCCGGTAAGATGTCGACGATGTTGACGTTGTTCAACCTGAAGAACCAGTCGGAAACGATTGAGCGAAGGCGGTTGGCAAAGGCGAAACCGGTAAGCGGCCCGGGCTGGTTCTGGCTTCCCGCCGCCGAGGCAGCGTTGATGTGGTAGACATCGCTGCTCTTGAGGTGGAACAGCTTCGCGAGGCCGGCAATCGTGAACACACGGGCGGCGGAGTTGAGGTGGAGCGGCTTGCCGGCCATGGCCAGCAACAGCCGGATGACGTTGGCAATGTGACGGACCTCACAGTAGTCGTCGATGCGGAACTCGGGTGCCAGCGGGAGGTCCCAGATGGAGCCAGTTAGCCAGCCGTCCTGCAGGATGGCGGGATCGGCGGGTGCGTGTGTGATCTCGGGCCCTTGTGGTGACGAGGGCGGTGGCACAGGGGCCTCGTCCGAACCAACGTCTTCAAGATCGGTGGCCTCTCTGTCTGTGGCTCCGGTGTCTGAATTGGACTCGACGGATGTTTGTGCGACTCCGTCGGATGGCGAAGTCGTTGGCTCCGGGACAGCATCGCCTTGGACAGTCAGTGGTTTGTGCTGGCCGTTGATCCAGTAGCCCGGCTCGTCAATCTTGGCACCCCGGATTTTCATGTCGAAGCAGTGACATGCATCGTCGTGGCCGCCGGCGGTGGAGATGGCCACACGTCGGGCTGGATCGAGGCGGGTCATCATGCTGTACTGCACAATGCCTTTGGGTAAGGTCAGGGCCTCGAGGTGCTCGGACCGCAGGTCAAAGTCGATCGAGGGTCCCAGGTCGAGCACAAAGCGGATCTTCTGCATGACTGTGGCTGCATTGTCCCCCAGTAAGCCGCTGAGCAGCAGCTTGCTCGCTTGTCGTTTTTGGTAGCGCTCGTCGTCGAGCAGCTGGGCGAATTTGGCGAAGCCACTTTCACGGAGAACGGCCGAGTTGTAGCAGAGCAGCCAGCTGGTGGGGTAGGCTGTGCCCATGCAGGTCATCTTGATGGCAGCGGCCGACGAGGGCGGGATCTGGAGCCAGACGAGGGTGTCGATCTGGGCTTCGGGGAACAAATTGGCAAACTCGGCCTCGGCGGCAATGATGTGAGTGACATCTTGGTCGTGCAGCCGGTTGGTCTGCTCCCGCTGGACGTCCAGCGGGCTGTGAAGTGATACGTGCAGGTCGCTCTGTATGAGGGAGAGAGGGAAAATGTTAGCGATGCTGCTGTCTCTCATTTTTACTCGAAAAATAGACCAAGAAAAGACGAACTCACCATTTTGATGGCCTCTTCTAAACGTTTCTGAAAGAACTCGGATGGAAACCGCGCACGCAAACACAATGAAGGAGACTTGTCAGCAAAGGGCCGAGTCGCTTGTGGTTTGGGTAAGAGGACGTCTGTTCTAAGAGGACGAGACAAAGGCGGGCGAAGAGACGGAGGAAGCGAAAAGCCGTGCAACTTGTAAAAACGGATCAAAGCATCGAGCGTCAGAAACTGTCTATAAAACAGACTCTGCGGGTCGCTCAGAGGCTGTTCCAAGACGAGACCGGGCCCAGCGGGGTCAGGGTGACAGGACGACGGTACTTGCTGGTGCCTTGTCGATATCGCGATGAAGTGCCTTTCGCATGTCACTAGTCGAAGATTGCCATTCGATCGCGATGCGTTGGGTAAGGGGAGAGAGAGAGAGACAGAGAGAGAGAGAGAGTCAGACGCCAGGCACCAGCGCAAATTCAAGACGGCGACTGGGGAAAGAGCGACAGACAATTGAATGACGGAGGCAAGAGGCAAGAGGCAAGAACAAGAGAAACAAAACGAGAAACAGCAAATGGCGGCACAACTTGCCAGCTGTGACGGAGTGAATGATTGAGGGAAGGAGCGATCTTCACGTGTTCTAGGCATCCACCACCACAGGCCACAGGCTGCTACCCAAGCTGTACGACCGTTGCGCAAGCTTGCTCGTTCTCATAGGCTTCCAATCCTGATGATGGTCGAGATTCTGCAACTTACAGGATTAAAGCGGGGCAACCAAACGGCATGCGGCTGAAGGATGAGTCGTTCTTTCCATGAGAGCGGGCCAGCGGTTACCGCTGGGAAGGAGCAGATCAGCGGAATAATAAACGGCAGGAGCTCGACCGCCTTGAAATGCGGAAACATCCTTCAACAGCGGCCACATCATGGCACAGTCATTGTGAACGTGCATCTACCGCGATTGGATTGTTTACCGTCGTCTTGACTCACAGCCGTTTCGAGGGCGTGGACGCGGACGCTAAGGCCTGTCACCAATCTTGTGTCAGAATGGCTCAGTTGTCAACTATGGGATAGCGCCCTCGCGCTTTCCGTCCCAAGTCTTATCGGCATATGGGGCTCTGTCCTCTTTCTGGGGCAGGTGCCACATTCGACGCCTTAGAGACAGAACAGGAAGGCGGGGCAAACGGGCAGTTGCATCTCACTGGCTTAGATAATTTTCAAATTGCAAGTGCTGCTAGGCTCAAAGAAAGGAAACGCAACTCGGACGTCGGTCGATATGGCTTACATCATATCTGATTGGCGAAATGATAACCTGGGCCTGATTGCCCTGCGGCCAGCCGTGTGCAGGCCATCGGTTCGTTGGAAGAAGATAACTTGTAGGCGAGAAGGACTTCAAACAGCTCCGTTGGAATTGGGGAAGGTGCGGAGCATTGACGAGGTTAAAACTGGAAGTAGGTGAATTAGGAAGGAACAGCTGACGCCAAGAAACGACAGCTTCTTATCTCAGATAAGACACAGCGCTCTATACATATTCGATGTATCTACAAAACACAATTCAGGACAATGTGGAAAACGCGACCAGGACGAGAACCGGGAACATCCAGGCCAGCAACACCAACCCGGGCGCGGCCCAACGCCCAGGCGTGTCTTGCATGCGTTGGGGAGGGGCGAAATGGAGCACGCGACCTGAATGGGGCGAACTGGCAGGTGAACCACACAACACTACCCCAGCGCCCCAAACGAAGCGGGGATGTCTCCACCAGGAGAGCGGCCTTGCAGTAGATGATCGTTAGTGAGGATGAAAGAGGGTAAGAGGGCAAGGGTGAAAGAACGCGGTGCCGCAAGACTGTGCATCTAGATACCTCTTCTTCTGCGTATCCGACAGCATAAGGCATAAGTTACTTGGCGTGAAGGGAGTTATTCAGAGCAATTCGTTAGTGAAGATGTGAAGGAGAGACGAGACGTAGACTCGAAGAAACAAACGTATCTCGAAGTGAAAGGTACCGATGACGAACCGATCTGAAAAGGACAGAACGTGCCGATCTCCCCTGTTCTTGCGCCTTCCTGTTTTTCTCCGTCGGTCTAGCTTGGTTCCTCCGCAGCTTCTTATTCTGGTCGTCTAAATTCCCCTCTTTCCCCTCTGGACATCGTTCACAGAGCTGCCTTCGTTTCTCTCTCCAACAAGCCAACTCGTGCATCTTCATCGAAACACAGACATCTCGACAGCCGTTAGGTGAAGCATCGCAAAATCAGTGGCAGACAGACATCCCCCTATACAGAATACCGGCATCATCCAAAGCGTCCACCGCGAGACACAGCAACCATGGCCGTCGCACCCCGAAAGTATGTCTTTTCTTGGTTCTTGGCCCGCTTGAACACAAGCCTTGATCTTCGTCCTGTTCTTCCTGATTTGTCATTGTCTGATGGTCGGGAGTCTTATTGACTAATACTGTAGCCCTTCTAGCCGCTTCCGTACCGCGGCTGCCATTGCCGTCGCTGCCGCCCTCGGGATCGGCTACACCGTCCGCCGCAACTCCAACCGCCTCCGTGACAACGAGCTTGTCCAGCAGCGTGCGCGGACCGGCACCGCGACGCCCGTCACGGCGACGAACCCGCCGAACCTGTACGTCAGTGTCGACCGGAGCGGCGGCGGGATTTGAGCAAATGGAGGCGCATGGACGACGACGACTGATGTGGCTCCGAGGCTATCCCACCCGCCACCACGTGCCTCCAAACTATACGATCTCGTCACACGACACAAGAACGTCAATCAGCTGCCGTTGTACCAAAGTCGATGCGTAATTGAAGGGATTGGATTCTCTGCTAGGACTACGACAGTCGGACATTCATTTTCACGGCATTTCTTTGTTTGACCAACGATATGGCAGCTTTTATTTCGAGACATCTCCTCACACTGTTTCTGCTGTACGATTGCTACGCTGCTTTTAGACGGTTCACGGACTAGGATCTCCTTTTCGAGTACAAATTGGTCATTGGCGGTGAAACAAAAGACACGACACGGTCCAGACTGCAATCGGAGGATTTTTGGTGAATAGGCAAACGAGTCCATGGGCATGGTCTATGAACCTGGGAATGGGAACCTGGAGAATCGGGAGAAGCATTGCCGGCGCAGAGACGGAAGCGGAGGCTCCTGGAAATGGGGGCGGCGGGCAAGCTGCAGAGAGGGGAAAGTGTTGTCAACTGTGTTACAACTACCCGGCCATGACAAGATAACCTACCCAGACCTATTCAGAGTTTGTTTCCCTGTTTTATTGCATATAGATACTTATACTTTCATTGTCTGATTTTCACTTCGATTTTTAGTTTAATTAATTCCGGGATTTTAAAAAGAGAATATCAATGACGCTGGATTCATGTCACAATATCGAGGAGAAACAAGACGGCGAATTATATGAAAAACGATCACAAACGACAAAAGGTGATTATTATATATGCAAACCCAGAACTAGACTCGGAAGAGGTGCTCTTACGTGCACAGGAACACGACATGACGCGAATATAACATGAAAACAGGATCAGGCCAGACAGAAACGAGGACACAAAATGCAAACAACACCATGAATGCCAAGCAAACAATGCAGACAAGAAAGAGAAAATGGGCAAAATTAAACAAAAGACAAAAAAGCCACCCAGTATGAATAGCAAAGTAGCAAAACTAAAAGAACAAGCAATGCTCGACTCGTCGACAGCAGCGGATCCAGTCCGCCACGCATGCCACGGTATTATAAATTGCGACGCTCAGAACAATAGAATAGGCTTTCTTGCGCAGCCGTGCCTCCTGCACGCCTTCTATAGCCGGTAGACGCTCTCGCTGTCGTCATCGTCCGAGACGACGGCAGCCCGCCGGTCGACTTCTTTGCCCTTGGCCGGCCGCGGCACGTGGCTCTGGTTTTGGTCCTGACCACCGCCGGGGCTCTCGCTCGCTTCGTTGCTGTCGCCGCCTACACCGCCTCCCCGTCCGCCGCCACCTCCGGTTCCGGCACCACTAATAGGGCGTGGGATCTGCCGAATGATGCCCGAACTGGCCACACGGGGCAGCTGGCTACTGGGACCGGGACCGGGCGGCGACGACATGCCGAGGCTGGACAGTGTGGCCGACACAGGGATGCGGCTGCCGGTGGGGCTCTTGGGAGTGTTGTTGCCGCTGCCGCTGCCGCTGCCGGCGGCGGGACCGGTTGTCTGGGGTGTTGGTGTTGGGGGATGCACGGCCGTTGATGGCGCCGACGGCACCGACGGCACCGACGGGCCGAGGACCGTGGGCATGCGCGACAGGGGCGGGCCCGCTCGCAGCGTCTCGTGCCGGGCGTGTGGGGCCTGCGAGGCACCGTGCCGTTCTTGGCCCGTCTCGCCCTCGGAGCTCGACACGACGGCACTGGCGTGCCCGCTCACGGCGGCGCTGGTGCGTCCGCTGGCGCTCACCAGCGTCTGCTGCTGCTGCTTCTGGAGCGACCGCAGCTCGTGAACGACGTCGGTAAAGCTCTCCTCGAGCGTCTTCATGCGCGCCAGCACCAGGCGGCTCATGCGGTCGCGGTCGCGGTCGCGGTCGGTCTCGCCCACGGCGCGGGCGTTGTTCATGGCGGTGGCGAGGGCGAGCTGGGAGGCGAAGCTGCCCGGCAGGACGACGTCGGGGGCGCCGAGGGGCGGGCCGACGGCGGACTCGGAGAGCAGACCCGAGGCCGACACACCGGCATCGACATCGTCCGAGCCCATGTCCAGCGACGACAAGCGGCGCTGCTGCAGACGGCGGGCGGGGCTGTCAATGAGGGCGGCGACGGCGCGACTGGCGGCCGAGGACGGCTGGGTGGGTGCGCGGGGCGGCAGGATGGGGCGGGGGCGGGTGCCGGACGTTGTCGGATGGGTGGCCTGCGGGACTCCCTGGTTGGGTTTGCGCGGCGAGCGCTGGCCGGCAGTGGTCGGGGGCGTACCCGGCGGCGCCACGGCCGATGTGTTGTGGCGGCTCGAGCGTGGCCGTGGCCGAGACGACGACGACGACTGCTGCTGTTGCTGCTGGTGCTGGTGCTGGTGCTGTTTTTGTTGATGGTGGTGGCCAGGTGTGGGCGACGGTGAAAAGAAGAGTCCCCCGGGTGACTGGCGCAGGCCTAGGATGACGTCGCTGGCATCGCTCCCCACGTCGTTGCTGCCGGGGACGGGGACCGGGTCTGCATTGGGCGGGTTGTATAGAATGGTGTTGCTCGAGAGGGCGCGGGAGTGCATCGCGCGGCGTGGCGAGCTGGGCCGGGGCTTGGGCGGGCTCGTGGCGCTAGAAATGTTGCCGATGCGGCGGGGGCTGGCCGGAGACGGCCCGGTCGCGCCGGGGCCTGGGCCTGCGCCCCCGCCCGCGTCCACCTCGTCGCCGTCGTTTTCGTTGTCGTCCTCGTCCATCGCCTTGGACGACTCGGGCGACCGTGCCGCAACGTGGAGGAACCGCGACGCCACGGGCGTCGCAAAAAAGTCGCCACCGTCGTCGTCCTCGTTGCCGTCCCCCGCCTCGTCGTTTGTCGGATTGTCGTCACCATCGTCGTCGTCGTTGTCATCGTCGTCGTCGTTGTCCACTTCGTTGCCCACATCGTCTTCGCCATCGCGTCCACTCTGTCGCGACAGCATCGCCGCCCGCGAGTGCGTCGGCGTCAGGCCCTGGCCGCCCGTGTTGGTCACCTCGTCTTCGTCGTCGTCGTCGTTGGTGACCAGCTCGTCGTCGCCCTCGGCGTCTGTGTGGTCCTTGAAGGCCGCCTCAAAGGGGCTCCGTTGCGGCGGGTAGGGGTGCATGCCGAGCATGCCGAACGTGCGCACGTCCCGCACGTCCCGCGCCAGGCCGGGCATGGCCGACACCGACATCAGGTCGGCCGGGTCGCTGGCGGTCGACCGCACCTCGGACATGTGCCGGAACCGCGAGGCGGCGGTGCCAAAGTGGTGGATGCTCATGCGCCGCTGCCACTCGTGGTCGGTGCCGGCCCCGCCGCCAGCAGCACCGCCGCCGTCGCCGCCGCCACCGCCGCGCTTGTCCAGGGTCGAGTACGGCGTGCCGTCGTGCTGGTCCATCCAGTGGCGGATGGCCGTCTGGGTCTTGCGGCGCTCGTTGCGGCGCTGCGTGCGCAGGGTGGCAATGTCCGGGGTGCGGCGGAAGACCTCGTCGAGGGCGCGGTCTTTTTGGTAGCCCGCCACCGACTCTTCCCGGAGCCGGATGCTGGGGCTGAAGAGAACGGGGCGGCCGTGGGGGTCCGCAAACGAAATGCCGCGGTGGCGCGCGGGGCGGCGGCCGTGGCCGTGGTTGTCGATGAGGTCCGTCGGCTCGTACACATAGGGGGCAAGAAAGAATGTTTCGTAGACAAAGATGCTGAAGAGCAGCGGGAAGTGGGTGGCCTTGATGACGAGGCGGTTGAGGGCGACAAAGTGGTGCAGGGGCATGCAGTAGCGCAGGGGCATGAGCATCCAGGCAAAGATGTTGGTGGGCGCAACGTAGGAGAAGAGGGCGTCGTTCTTGACCATGGAGATGGTGTTGATGGCAAACAAGAACTGGTGCTCTTCGTTGGCATTGGACGCAATGGCCATGAACGAGTTGGTCAGGACGGTGATGAGGATGGTCACGACGACAAAGTGGCAGATGATGAGGAAGAGCACGAGCAGCGTCTTGCCCAGCACGTTGTACGTCGGCCAGGCGTCCCAGGCGGCCGGCGTGAAGCCCATGAGCAGCTGGAAGATCATGTAGGCGACGTCGGCCGGCGCGTTCTCGGTGTCGGACAGCGTAAAAAAGACAAAGAAGCCGGAGCACGACACGAGGATCAGCACAAAGACGGCGGCCAGGTCGACGGCCATGAGGCGGAAGGCGATGAGCAGCTGCGAAAAGTACCGGGAGTGGTCGAGGACGCTGAAGATGCGCGGCAGCAGCAGGATGGCGTTGGCCGCCAGGATGTCGTAGGCGCTGTTGTTCCAGCGCTGAGCGTCGGCGAGGAAGACGCCGCAGATGCGCAGCGAGTAGTAAAAGATGAGCAGCAGCAGAATGCCCAGATCAAAGATGTTCCAGAAGCTCATCATGTAGAGCGAGAAGCCCTGCTCGTTGAAGCCGACGAGCTCGTCGAGCATGAAACCGGCGCTCCAGAACCAAAAGACCAGCTCGAGGGTGGTGATGCGGCTCGAGTGCTGCGCGAGGACGGACAAGAACAGGCCGATCAGGATGGCGAGCGAGCACGTCGACAGAAACTGGCGGTAGCGGGGCACGCGCAGGCGCGACAGCTTGAACAGCGAGGCGTTGCGCGGGTCGTAGAGCGTGACCGTGCGGCGGTGGAGCGGGGGTGGTGTGGGCCGGGCATGCTGTGGCCGTGTTGGCTCCTCTTTGACCGGGTGGCTACGGCCGAGGAGCGGCGTCCGCTGGTCATTGGCGCTGTTGCGGCGGCCAGCGTTGCTGTAGTTGCCGTAGTTGTAGTTGCTGTAGTGGCCGCTGCGCTGTGCGTTGTGCCGATGTGACGCGGCCGCGACCGCCACCGCCGGGGCCTTGCCGTTGTGGCTGTTGCTGCGGTGCAGCTGGTCGGCCGACGAGTAGAAGCTGATGGCGCCGTTCCAGATGGCCTCGAGATGCTGCACGACGAGTGGGTGGGCCAAGAAATGCTTGGCCGACGCGCGGATGGCGACCTCGAGCGTCGAGATGCGCGCGGCGGGTGCGGAGCCGGGCCGGGCCGAGGACAGGCCGACCGACGACGTGTGGTGCGGGGAGAGCGGGCGGGCGGCGACGCCGGGGCCGGTGGCGGCAGCAGCAGCGGCAGCAGCAGCACCGGCGCCCGGGATGCCTTGCAGCGGGTTGAAATCGTAGGACAAGGCATCGATGAGCTCGCGGGTGGTGTACTCCTTGAGCAGCTTGATGGCGAGCAGCTCGCAGACCTTGGCGCGGGTGTTGCTGGTGCCGGCGTTGCCCGGGAAGAACTGGGCCTCCTTGGCGAACTGCAGGCAGTTGGCCATGAGGGCGTAGAGGGTGGCCCGGGAGAAGTGCTGGGCGCGGATCTGCTGCTGCATGGGCTTGACCAGGAACTGGGAGACTTGCGGGGACCGCAGCTGTTCCCAGGTGAGGGTGGTCTCGGTGCGTGCCTGGACGATGATGCGCATGGCATGGACGATGCTGTAGACGGGAAGGGCGTCGAGGTGCGAGGCGGAGAAGAGCGGGAGCACGTGTGAGGCGCGGCGGCCGTCTTCGTCGGGTGGCAGATCGCCGCGACGACGCCCGCCATGTATGCCGTCGTCATCGTCGTCATCGTCTTCGTCGTCGTCGTCATCAGCTTCTGTGAAATCGGCGGTGGCATGCCGGAGGTGAGCATAGGCCGAGCCTGGCGATGGTCCCTGACTGTCTAGATGCTCGTCGTCCACTTCTACCGACATCCGAGGAAAGGTGCGCGTGTCCGCGCCCAGGTGAGGGTCCAAGTGAGGATCCAAGTGAGGATCCAAGTGAGGATCCAAGCCAGGGTGCAAGTCAGGGTCCATGGCCAGGTCTGGGTTGGCGTCCATGGGGGAAAGCAGCTCGTTTCCGGCGGGCCGTTTCTTGCCGTGGACGGCGCGCAACATCATGGAAAACATGTTGCATGTGGGTGTTGTGCTGCGGGGGGACCGAGGAGGGGAGGCTCAACCAACGGAACATGGGGCATATGTCGTATGTCGTATGCCGTTGTCGTCTGTGTTGTCGTACGCCGTCAAGTCGCGGCCGCAGAAAAGTCCCTCCCTGGCGTCCTGGCGCATTCCCTCGCCGGCGCCGGTCGTCAACAAAACTCAAAGGCACATCTCCAACGGGGTCCAAGGGGGAAAGAAAGAGAGGGAGAGGGGAGGAAGAAAGAAGAAGCGGAAGGGGAAGAAAAGGAGGAGGGGAGAGAGGACAGAAAGGGAGACGGGGGAGGAAAGAGAAAAAAGGAGGCGCGGGCGAGGCTGCGTAGCCGCTGTAATGAAACAGAGCAAAACGTAAAAAAAAAAACTATACAAACAAGAAACAAGGAGTCCAGGAAACAAGGAACAGACGAAAGGATGTGGGACAGTCGAGACGAACAAAATGGAAGAACACGGGTGAAATAAAATAGAAATGTGCGTTCGAGTGCCGTGCGAGTGCCGTGCGATTGCCAGTGTCAGTGCCCGTGAGGCCGAGCCCACACACCTTTCAGCTGCTTTCTGTCTGCAAGTGACGCGCGAGAAGCGCGATGCAGTGTCGTCCGTTCGTCGTATTGCCTCTGTAAATTTGGAGCGGCTGCGCGCTATCAAAATTAAGGAGAGCCCGATAAGGTGAAGAAAGTCGAGAAAAACAGGGGCGCAAGTGGTTAGCGCAAGCACGCCGAGACCATTTTGCGGAGCTGTGGAGGTTGCAGATGGAGACAGCATCAATGTGAGTGTGTGAGTGTTTGAGTGTGTGAACGCATGAGACTGTAAAAGCGAGACGGCCGGGTGTTGTGGTGTCCTGAACCCTGGTAAGATACGAGTCGTTGAGCAGGCTGTTTCTTGTTTCGGCAGCTGGAGCGGGCAAAGGGCAAAGGACGATGTGCCGTTTATGTTTTGGCGAGGCGGACCAAAGGCAAGATAAATGGTCGAGACGGGAGGGTAAGGGTGTGAAGTAGCGAAGAAGCGAGACGGGGGGAGCGGAGTGAAGCTGTGCCAAATGTGACTATGAAACGAGAATGCAAAAGTAACAAAAAAAGAAAGGAAATAGAAAAACAAGTGCAAACGAACCCCAGTGACGGTCGCAGAGCAGGATCGTCAACGAGACTGGCGACACAATCACAGGCACAAGCACAGACTGTGAGTGGACGCCGGCACGTCTGGTCTGTCATGTCTGGTCCTGTGGTGTGGCGTTGCACTGCAGCGAGCAGCATCGTTGGAGCAGCTCAGTTTGGACACAGCCTGACGGGTCGCATGCTCATGCTGATGCTACATGCTAAATGTCCGCCTGAGACACGAGCACGATCCTCGAGCGTCCTGCAGCAACGCTTGAACGGCCCTTGAACAGCTCGAGTGACCTTGAGCGACCTTTTGCGGAGAATTTCTCCCTTGCTTGGAAAGCCTCTGTCTGTCTCGCAGTGTCCTCCTGGCAAGCAAGGCACATGTATAAGGGACCATGCCACTACGTCGTATGCACGATAACGGATGCCATCAGATGCCGTCTGCTCTGAGAGACAAACCCCAACTAGGCTGCATGTCGGGTATATTAAATGTCTGGTGTCGACAATCCCTCCATGTCTGGGGACAAGACAACGGGACATCACTGGCCACAAGCTGGAGTGACACATGCAGGCTGGACTCGTCGCTTATTGGGTCGATTAGTGCAGTGGCCGCCGCCAAGCTGAGATCGTCTCCAGGCATGGTCTGGTGGTGCAGTGGACGACTGCACAGAGCGCACCAGACGCGCTGATTGGTAGCTTGTCGGGCTCGTAGGAAAGAGGGTGCAGGAGTGTAAGAGCTTGCAGGTGGAGCAGGGTTCACAAGACGCAGCCGGGCCAGCCTCCGACAGCCTTCTCTGGAGTGGGCGACTCCTCGAGCAGACGTCTGTCCTCTTGACACTCACCGGCTTGCTTCTGTAGTCGTACTCTTCCAGGTTGTGTCGTTTTGTGTACAATTAGACAGAATTGTCGAGGCTGACAAGAACTCTAAGACAGAACCCGTCGACGACACTTTGCCTGTCTCCCGTGCAGCTCGCAATTGTCGGTGAGGCAAAATGGTGGGCGTGGTGCTCCACATGCAGCAAGTCCTGCAAACGCAACGCCACGCTGAAAGCGGCAAGACAATCAGTGGTCTGCGTTTCTGTGTGGGTGGTCGAGTGCCATCGAATCCTTCCTGCGTGGGTTGCGCGTAGAATGAGGAACGACTCGAACAGGGGTGAGACCGCTGCGGGAGGACGTCTGCGTGATGTGCTTCCTTTCCTTGTTTGTGCCGCTTGCTCGTCATGTCTTGCTTTTGTGCTGTTTTATCTGGCAATCTCCTACTCGCATCACGTCTTGTCCATACATCGTAGAGCGCAGTCAAGTCGGCAGTCGAGCATGCATCAACTCTGAGCGGTCTCGTGGGCTTCTTGAATTGCTTCAGAACTGTATCAACTCTCTCTTTCAACATAAAAGTCCCTGTTTGCCAGGTCTTCCCGCTGCCGTCGTCGGAGCTGACACAGTGAGCCTTGCCATCGACTCGACAGCTCTTGACCAATTTGGCCTGCGTTTTGAACCATCGCAATCTCGCGTTAATGACTCGGCCTTGAGACGCGTGTTCCTGTAAACAATGTAAGATACTCCGTGTAAACACCTGTTAGCGTCCAGTAGGGCCAGACTAGAGTCAACGAGCATCCTGACAACAGCCTTTATGGTCGCGCTCTCCTGGATCACTCCCACCCAACACAACGGGCGCCCACTTCGCCCACCGCCTTCCAACAGCGTCAAGGCGGTCAGCGAGTCGAGTCCCTCTAGGCCCTGTTTGTTTTCTCGGACCCCGCGCAGCGTACCAATTGGCCAACCACAGCGCCCTGTCGCGATGCACCCGCTGGGACGTGGGAGGTGGGTCGTCTGTAATTCGTACGGTGAGGCTATCCGAGACTCGGCTCTTTCAGAGACACTCACTGGACAAAGAGCGTTCATAGAGGATGCCCCACGCGTTTCGCGGTGTCAGTCATCCACTGTTCGCACGGTGGGACTAGAGTGGCACTATACTGTTAGTTGATTGGTCGGATGCATATACGCAGAAAAAGTTGTAAGAGCAACCAAGGCTGGCAAAAAAAAAAAAAAAAGAGGGCGACTCGGGGACTAGTCAGAGATTTTCTTTGCGAGAAAGCTTTTCTCGCGTCTCTTTTGCTTCCTCTCTGTCTCTCTTCCTCTCTTCCTCCCTCTCTTCCCCTCCTCCCCTGTTATACCATCTCTTCTTCAAAGGACTCACCTGTGTACAATCTCAAGACACAGCCGTCTGGCGAAGAAGCAATTGGTAGAACTGCGAGACAGAGACACTCCGCTCGAACACGCCTGCCGCTCTGCTGCCCTTCTCTCGCCTGTCCCGACACCTCGACCGAACCCGTTCACTCGACTGTTCTGCCGCCTGTGTCGTTGCAAAGGGCTGTCGGCCGGACGAAGAGTCATCTCTCGCCGTCGCCGTCGTCGTCGTCGTTGTTCTCAACTCGCTTCTTCCCTCGTGTTTTGTTTCTTCCTTTTCGTCTTCTCCCCAGCCGACATGGCCCCTCCATTCTTCCCCCCGGCCTCGGGCCGCGTCTTCGACAGCGAGGCCGCCGAGAAAATGGTCAGCCTCGAGCTCCAGGACAGCTCCGTGTACCAGGGCTACAGCTTCGGCGCCGACAAGAGCATCGCCGGCGAGCTGGTCTTCCAGACCGGCATGGTCGGCTACCCCGAGTCGCTGACCGACCCCTCGTACCGCGGCCAGATCCTGGTCCTGACCTTCCCCCTCATTGGCAACTACGGCGTGCCCTCGCGTGCCGTCCTCGACGCCCTGCTGGCCGACCTGCTGCCCGCCCACTTTGAGTCGTCGCAGATCCACGTCGCCGGCCTCGTCACCGCCTCGTACGCCGGCGAGGACTTTTCCCACTTTCTGGCCGAGTCGTCCCTCGGCGCCTGGCTCAAGGAGCAGGGCGTGCCCGCCATGCACGCCGTCGACACCCGCGAGCTGACCAAGCACATTCGCGAGTCCGGCAGCATGCTGGGCCGCATGCTTCTTGAGAAGGACGGCGGTCTGTCCAGCGCGGCCGGAGCCACCGGGGCCAATGGGGCCAATGGGGCGACCTCGGCCCTCTCGTCGGCCATCTCGTCGACCCTCTCGTCGATTGTCTCCTCGCCCGCGGTCGGCACCACCAACGGCGCCACCAACGGCACCACCGGCACCACCACCACCACCACCGCGACGACGCCCGCCGACGACGACGTCGTCATCGACCGCTCCCTCCTCGCGCCGTACACCGCCGCCAACTGGCGCCCCCACTTTGAGGCCGTCGACTGGCTCAACCCCAACGCAAAGAACCTGGTCGCCGACGTCTCCATCCGCGCGCCGAAGCTGTTCCGGCCCCCCGCCGACAAGGCCCTCAAGCACCCCTCCGGCCGCACCCTGCGCATCCTGTGTCTCGACGTCGGCATGAAGTACAATCAGCTGCGCTGCTTCCTCAAGCGCGGCGTCGAGGTCCTCGTCGTCCCGTACGACTACGACGTCGCCCGCGCCGCCGCCGCCCACGAGTACGACGGCCTCTTTTTGTCCAACGGCCCCGGCGATCCCGCCACCCTCGACGCCACCGTCCGCAACATTGCCAGTGTCCTCGCCACGAACCAGACCCCCGTCTTCGGCATCTGCCTCGGCCACCAGCTGCTCGCCCGCGCCACCGGCGCCACCACCACCAAGATGAAGTTTGGCAACCGCGGCCAGAACATCCCCTGCACCTCCCTCGTCACCGGCCGCTGCCACATCACCTCCCAGAACCACGGCTACGCCGTCGACGCCGCCAGCCTCGCCGACGGCTGGCAGGAGCTGTTTGTCAACGCCAACGACGGCTCCAACGAGGGCATCATGCACACCAGCCGCCCCTACTTCTCCGTCCAGTTCCACCCCGAGAGCACGCCCGGCCCGCG